AGAGATCCTTTCAAGGATCCTATTAAGATCTTTGCAAGGATCCTTAAGGATTTGATCAGGATCTTACAAGGATCCTACTCAAGATCTTTGCAAGATCTTTTCAAGGATCCTTCAAGATCCTCAAGGATTTAATGAGGATCTTTTAAAGACCTACAAAAGATCCTTTCAAGGATCCTGTAAAGATCTTTGCCAGGATCCTAAGGAATTTGATCAGGATCTTACAAGGATCCTTAAGTCAAGATCTTTGCAGGATCTTTTCAAGGATCCTTCAGGATCCTCAAGGATTTAATGAGGATCTTTTAAAGACCTTCAAAAGAACCTTTTAGGGATCCTGCTAAGATCTTTGCTAAGATCCTTAAGAATTTGATTAGGAGTTACAAGGATCCTAGTCAAGATCTTTGCATGATCTGTTCTACAATCCTTTAAGATCCTCAAGGAATTGAAAAGGATCTTCCAAATATCTTTAAAAGATTCATTTCATGATTTTGTACAGCTCTTTGTAAGGATCCTTTTTGAATTTGACGTGGATCTCAAAGGCAACTTTGTCAAGATCTCTACCACATCTCTACATTATGAATTAGGTTCCTTTGAAATCCTCAAGTAATTTCAAACATAACAAAATTGTAAATTGAGGGCTCACTGTTTTATAATTTAAACACAACAAGGAATTTTCGCAGAAAATTATTGTGCAATGAGTGTAATGAAGGTTACCGCATAGCAACGCCATGCTCGAGGCTTTCGGGAAACTTTGTGACTACTTACATGACAACAAATAGGGTTTTGCATTATGGGATAGGAATTTATACGCGCCGAGATTTTTAACGGTCGCATAAAAACAGAAGAAGCTCGTTGTTACGGCAAATATCATCGACAATGGTCGGAACTAAAGGGAAAATGTACACAGAAATAAAGGTAAAGGAAAGGCGTTTTCTGGAGTTCAGAAACAAGCGAAAAGAGAGACAGAAACAACCGAAATCGTCAATCAAACTCCAAGCAGGTCTCGCGATTGCTCTGACTCTGGGGCTGAAAAGAAAATGAAGATGCCATCCTCGCCTAATGATTCTTACTCTGAGCTCTTGGAGAGTGAGGATGCAAATGATGTGTTACAGGGACAAGGATACAGGCTTATCGATCTAGAGAGATTCTCCTCGACGCTCACTGAGGGACATGTTTCTGAAGAAGGTGTGAATTTACTTGGTTCCGTGTAACCAACTTAAAAAGCTCTTTTAGAGGTTGTCATATGAATTCCCGAAAACACTTTTTTTGTACCTCAGGATATATTAGTTCAATTAATCTGAAGTTTTCAGGGCTGTATCCTCTTACTGAGTTGAGTTGGATAAGCTGACAGTTTCTCTATAAGCTGAATTTTAAGTAAGATGTTGTGGAATAACTCACCTAATAATCTCGGTGAACTTTGAACGGGCATTGTGCCCATAATATAAACGACTCCAAAAGTTCAGCTCAGCTCATCCAAAAGAACGGCCCTAGTACTTTGTTTTGACACTAAAAACACTTGATTTCATGCAATCTTTGTGCAGTTATCTTTTCTCAAGTTTACCTAGGTTTTTCACACCATGTGGTGGACAAATTGATCTGATGTCAAATAACAAATTAGTTTAGGGCAACATATTAGTTATATTCAGTATGTGTGATTCCTAAGCTTTCCTTTGGTCTATAGGTTAATATGGTTCAGAAATATAGTCATTGAAGTACTCCTGTTTTCCTTTTTTTCATGTTTACCCCCTCTGTAAGAGTAGTCTGAGTCTGGTCATAGTCTAGTCCTAGACAAGTTTAACACATATATTTTGGTCTTCTTATCTTTGAGCTGGACTGTTGCCAGATTTTTTGGAAAATGAAAATCTTAGTACTAACCTAAAGTCTGAACAGAAATAGTGTAGAAGTAGTCCTACTAGAAGAGGATGGGTAATTCTCGTTTAGCAATAAAAATAAGTTTTATCTTCTTTTTTTTTATGTTTGGTTCAATTTTTCTTTTTAACTTAGTATGAGGATTTAAGTATGCTTATTTTCTTGTCAAAATTTCGAAGGTTCTATAACATTCTTGCTAAGATCTTCAACGATCTTCCATTTCCTTGCCAGGATCTTCAAGGTTCACTGACATTCTTGTCAAGATCTTTAAGGATCTTCAAATCTCTTGCAAAGATCTTTGATTTGGCTGTCAAAATCTTCAAGGATCTTTCTTTTTTATGCCAAGATCTTCAAAGATCTTTCAATTTATTGCCAAGATCTTTAAGGGTCTTTTATTTTCTTTCCAAGATCTTTAAGGATCTTCAAAATTTTCAAAAAGATCCTTGAAGATCTTGGCAAGAAAATGAGAGATCCTCAAAGATCTTAACAAGAATTTGGAAGATCCTCAAAGAATTTTCAAAGATCTTTAAAGGATCTTCAAAGTTCATGTAAAGATCTTTGAAGATCCAGACAAGATCTTGACAGGAAAATGAAAGATCCTTAAAGATCTTGTCAAGAAAGTCAAAGATCCTCG